GTTCGTGGTTATTGAGATAAAATTGGAATCTCTAATAAGCGTGGTGTGCTCACTTTAAATTATGGTAAATTATTGTCAAATAAGTACACCATTAGAACACTGTGACAACATTGTTGTGGCCATTTACTGACTAGGTAGACATTTAAAGAAGTGACATGCGTGTAAGTGTAGACATATGTCCAGTATCTATGTCTCTCTGCACTGCAATATGATGTTGTGTACACATCGAAGTTCGATGGAAGAGAGGGCTACCACCATAGATGTGTGAAGCCGTCATTGATAACGAACATAAATAATAAGAGAAAAGCTACCCCTATGACTGTGAATTGAAAAGAATATATAAAAAAAGTCATCACGTGAGCATACAAAACAAATAAATTTATATAAATGCTCTAATCTGGCACACACATATTTTCATTTAAAGAGAAAATTTCAGATGAGGCATTTTGAAACACACTTTAGCATGTAGTCATCAGAAATGTTAAATCAGGTTAGGACATGGTTCATAATTAATTATGTCTCCTATCACACACTCACGTTTCAGTATGAAAAATTAATTAAATTAGTTGGGAGCAACACCTGAATGGAAATTTCATGCTTATCTTGAGAATTATAAGCTAGTTGTGAAATTGATCTGATTATGAAATCTGTCCAAAAATATTATGATTGATTTAAAGTTCAATAAATTTTCGGATTTATGTGTGATTGACCTGTGGGTTTTTTCATAGATTTTTTTTTATCAACGGTCTAAATTTCGCAGTAAACTCTAGTATCCATTGTAAAAAGGAAAAAAATTGAGCGAAAATGTTTAGAAACGAAATATAGGTAGAATATGAGGGGTCAGTTCAACCTTATTAACTGAGAAAGTACTCATTGCATTTGATCTCGAATTTTGTAGTTTCAAGCCATTTTTACAGATTATAGATGGCAAGTATGATAATGAGGAGATTAATTATCTTTAGTACCAGACAATTCCACTCATACAACACTGAAGGGACAAGGTTCTGACCTCCTATCACGTTAGACTAAAGCAACAATGCTGCTGTTACTGCTCCTGCTGAAGACAGTCAGGTTTAACCCAATTGAGGAAGTCAAGAAAGACACTGAATCCCAAATCTAGATAGCTAGTCCTAACTAATCTTTTATGGGCCAAAAAGTCGATTAATTGAATGGTTCTATCATTCTGACTCTAACTCTTTAATCTCATTATTTGCCTATTTGTTTCACTTTATATCATAAGTGTGTTAATTTCAAAAAAGGGGGAGGGGAGAGTAATAGTTCTTTTATTTTGATGTGTGGTGATAATGGAACATGGACACCAATTGTTTGTAAGTGTATTACTTCATATTAAAATTGTGTTGTTGCATATCTGTTTAATTTTTACTTGGTCTACATGCGATGCAATATATTGATTGATCCTCATAGACCTGTTTTAATGTTAAATGAATAAGAGTAACTATTTTTTCATCTTTGACAAAGTTTTATCTATTTTTAAATCTATCACGGATAACCTTCCTATGATACTGTCATGGCATTCTCAATAAAATAGGTCTAGCATGCATAGGAACCACATCACCTCATCAACCACTGCAACTTGTTGGGTTTAGAATGTTTTAGCATAGTCATGCCTAACTTCTCAACGAGGGTGGTACTAGCTACATTGATACAACTCTCCCATCTATAATCATATCACACACCTTCTTGTTACCATAGCATCTAATATGAAAAAAATTCTCTCTCAGTTGCTTCATATCACCTACTTTAATCTTTACATTAAGAGCACGCTTCACAACAAATGCTTCACCTTCTACTAAGTGTTCTATCCCATTACCATTACCATCACCAACATCCTCCAACTTAGATATCTCATCATTATCACTCTCATCTTCAATCACCACTTTTTCATTGTTATGCATAATCAATGCTCTTTTGTTTGGGAATTGAGATGCAATGTGCCCAAAACCCAAGCATTTAACTTTGTGATTATGATAATCTTAACTACCTAATATTCGTACCACAATTTTCTCTCAACTATCCATGATCGCTATCATGATTTGTGGAAACCATAAGAACGATTATCTCACGTGCTTATAACAAATTTTGCGTGCGGCATCATCGTAGGATGTTTATAAATAGAAAGCAATTAACAATAAAAAGGTACACTTAATACAAGTCTTTCTATATTGATTAATTCTTTATAAGAATTTTTATTTATGAAAAAACATTTTCATTCTTTAATGATTGTGGATAACACAAAGTGAGGGTTGGAGTAAAATACGCAAAAAAAAAAAAAAAAAAAAAAAAAAAA